TTGAGGGGTTTTTTTAAGATTTTGGGGGTTTTTTGAAGATTTTGGGTTTTTTAAAAAATTTTGGGGAGTTTTTTGAAATTTGGGGATTTTTTAAAAGATTTTTCTGTGATTTTTTTTAAGTTTTGAGGGGGTTTTTTTGAAGATTTGGGGGATTTTAAAAGTTTTTGGGGGTTTTTTCGAAAGTTTTTGGGGTTTTTTAAGATTTTGGGGTTTTTTGGAAGATTTTTGGAGTTTTTTAAATTCTGGGGGTTTTTAAAGATTTTGGGTGTTTTTTTGAAGATTTTTGGGGGTTTTTTGGGATGTTTTGGGGGTTTCTTGAATATTTTGGGGTTTTTTTTGAAATTTTGGGGGGGTTTTGAAGATTTTTGGGGTTTTTGGGAAGTTTTGAGGTGGTTTTTTGAAGATTTGGGGGGGGTTTTGATATTTTGGGGTTTTTTTTAAGGACAACACCCCTCTGGATTGAGTTTTTCAGGTCTAAATTTCTAAATATTGGGAAAAAAACCCCTTCCCCATGGGATTAAGACATTCTCAGTGGGATTAAGCCATTCCCTGTGGGATTAAACCATTTCCTGTTGGATTAAACCATTCCCCATGGGATTAAAGTATTCTCTGTGAGATTAAACCATTCCCTGTGGGCCATTCCCCATGGGATTAAACCATTCCCTGGTGGGATTAAGCCATTCTCAATGGGATTAAACCATTCCCTGTGGGATTAAATCATTCCCCATGGGATTAAACCATTCCCTGTGGGATTAAATCATTCCCCATGGGATTAAACCATTCCCTGTGGGCCATTCCCTGTGGGATTAAGCCATTCTCAATGGGATTAAATTATTCTCCATGGGATTAACCCATTCCCTGTGTGATGAAACCATTCCCTGTGGGCCATTCCCTGTGGGATTAAGCCATTCTCAATGGGATTAAACCATTCCCTGTGGGATTAAATAATTCTCCATGGGATTAAACTATACTCCATGGGATTAAGCTATTCCCTGTGGGATGAAACCATTCCCTGTGGGATTAAACCATTCTCCACGGGATTAAGCCATTCTCCATGGGATTAACCCATTCCCTGTGGGATTAGCATCATTTCCCTCTGGGATTATTGAGCAATAACGCAGAGGATGAGCTTCTGCCCAATCTTGAGGGTGAATATTCACCGAGGACACCATATGACCATGGGGGATGGGACAGAATAAACCTTAATCCATGGGGATTACCCAACCGGGATGACGGGATTAATCCGGTTTCTTCCCTAAGCGTTTAAACACGCTGACGGTGCCGGCACTGTCCATCTGAGCACCGGGAATTTCACTGGTGCTACTGACCTTCCCACACCCCCAAGTCCTTTTGATCATCACACGGAACTCCGGTGGGTTCTTCTCCTTGGTGGTGGTGACGTCATCATCATCTGGGGTTTCCAGGGATTGGGTAGAAATCCCCATAATCCCGGTTTTTGGTGGTGCTGGTTGAGGTTTTATCGGCGGGTGGATGTTTCGAGGAGTCAATCGTTGGGTTGAAGTGGGGATGGTGACCAGTTTGGCTTCTGAACTGGTGGCTTTTAACTTGATGGTCATTGACCCAACGCTTGTTGACCCAACTCTTGTTGACCCAACACTCGTTGACCCAACTCTTGTTGACCCAACACTCGTTGACCCAACTCTTGTTGACCCAACACTCGTTGACCCAACACTCGTTGACCCAACACTCGTTGACCCAACAACCCTGGACCCAATGGTTGGTGACCCAACACTCGTTGACTCAACGCTCATTGACCCAACTCTTGTTGACCCAACACCCGTTGACTCAACACTCATTGACTCAACACCCCTTGACCCAACTCTTGTTGACCCAACTCCCATTGACCCAACTCTTGTTGACTCAACACCTATTGACCCAACTCTTGTTGACCCAACACCCGTTGACTCAACACTCATTGACTCAACACCCCTTGACCCAACTCTTGTTGACCCAACTCCCATTGACCCAACTCTTGTTGACTCAACACCTATTGACCCAACTCTTGTTGACCCAACACCTGTTAACCCAACACCCATTGACCCAACTCTCGTTGACTCAACACCCCTTGACTCAACTCTTGTTGACCCAACACCCATTGACCCAACTCTTGTTGACCCAACTCTCGTTGACCCAACTCTCATTGACCCAACTGTTGGTGTTGACCCAACTCTTGTTGACCCAACTGTTGGTGTTGACCCAACTCTCGTTGACCCAACTGTTGGTGTTGACCCAACTGTCGTCATCGCCATCGTCCTCCCCGGTTGGGCGAGTTTCTTTAAGACGCCGGCGTATTGAAGGACAGAACAATCATCATCGTCATCATCATCGTCGCTCTCGGTGGCTTTGTCACCTTCTGTCCCCAAAGTGTCACCCAATCGACTGAAGACACCTGTGGGCTTGGGGACAAGAAGTTGGGAGACCATCAAAACCCACCCCCACCTCCATTTTAGGTCATTGATTTCCCATTTTCTTCCTATTTTGCCCCAAATTTTGCCACTGAGATGGGGGAGAAAATGGACAATTTTGGGGTTGTGATGGTGTGAAAAGTGATTAAATTAATAATGAGGTTATCAAATAATCTATTAATCACCCATTAAATCATCGATTCCGTTATAAAATGGGTCTATTAATCACCCAGAAAATTATTGATTATGTTATAAAATCAATCACCCCTAAAATCAGCAATTATTTTATTAAACAGGTTTATAAATCACCCATAAAATAATCAATTAAGTTATAAAATGAGTCTATGAATCACCTATAAAATCAAAATAATTGATTACTTTATAAAATAAATCACCCTTAAAATAATTGATTATGTTATAAAATGGATCCATAAATCACCCTATAAATCACCTATAAAGTAATCAATTAAGTTATAAAACAGGTCTATAAATCATCCATAAAATAATCAATTAAGTTATAAAATGGGTCCATAAATCACCCATAAAATCATCAATTACTTTATAAAATAAATTACCCTTAAAATAATCAATTAAGTTATAAAATGTGTCTATAAATCACCCATAAAATTATTGATTATTTTATAAAATCAATCACCCCTATAATCATTGATTATGTTATAAAATGGGTCTATAAATCACTCTATAAATCACCTATAAAGTAATCAATTAAGTTATAAAATGGGTCTATAAATCACCTGTAAAATAACTGATTACTTTATAAAATAAATCACCCCTAAAATAATCGATTATGTTATAAAATGGGTCTATAAATCATCCATAAAATAATCAATTACATTATAAAAGGGGTCTATAAATCACCTATAAAATAATTGATTATTGTATAAAATCAATCACCTATAAAATAATCAATTCTGTTATAAAATGGATCTATAAAACACCTATAAAATAATTGATTATTTTAGAAAATAAATCACGTATAAAATAATCAATTATTTTATTGATTAAAATTAAGTTATAAAAGGGGTCTATAAATCACCCATAAAATCATTGATTACGTTATAACAAGGAGTCTATAAATCACCCTATAAATCACCCATAAAATAATCAATTATGTTATAAAAGGGGTCTATAAATCACCCATAAAATCATTGATTACGTTATAACAAGGAGTCTATAAATCACCCTATAAATCACCCATAAAATAATCAATTATGTTATAAAAGGGGTCTATAAATCACCCATAAAATCATTGATTACGTTATAAAATAAATCACCCCACGTCCTCTCACCTTTCCCCCCGCCGTGGTGTCGGCTTTGGCCTCGGCTCCCAGCCGCTCGAACACGGACGTTCTCTGCAGACCTGCAATTTCCAGAAAATTTGGGGGGTTTTTATGGAAATTCTCAATTTTGAAATTTAAAAAGATGTGAGCAGAAAATTTATGGTTCAGAGTGAATTAATAAATCCTTGGAATTACACGATTACTGCCCAAAATCCCTCTGGAGATGAAAATCCTCGTGGATTTCGACCCAAAATCCCTCTAGAGATGAAAATCCTCGTGGATTTCAACCCAAAATCCCTCTGGAGATGAAAATCCTCGTGGATTTCGACCCAAAATCCCTCTAGAGATGAAAATCCTCGTGGATTTCAACCCAAAATCCCTCTGGAGATGAAAATCCTCGTGGATTTCGACCCAAAATCCCTCTAGAGATGAAAATCCTCGTGGATTTCAACCCAAAATCCCTCTGGAGATGAAAATCCTCGTGGATTTCGACCCAAAATCCCTCTAGAGATGAAAATCCTCGTGGATTTCAACCCAAAATCCCTCTGGAGATGAAAATCCTCGTGGATTTCAACCCAAAATCCCTCTGGAGATGAAAATCCTCGTGGATTTCAACCCAAAATCCCTCTGGAGATGAAAATCCTCGTCGACCCAAAATCCCTCTGGAGATGAAAATCCGCGTGGATTTTGACCCAAAATCCCTCTGGATCTGAAAATCCTCGTGGATTTTTTTCCCAATAAATCTCTGGATATAAAAATCCCAGTATTGAGAGGACAAACTGGGACTGAACTGGTTGTTAGTGGTACCTCTGGCCGCCTGCTGCTCCAGGATTCTCCTGGTGCGGGGCGTGGTGCCCTTGGGCATGCTGATGATGTATTTCCCCTCCATTTCCGCCGTCACCCGCCGGCGTTTCGCCGGCACCACCGGGTTCTCCTCTGGCGTCGTCAGTTCATGAGGGAGAGGAAATGAAAAGTAATTGTTAAAATTTATCCTGGGAAAGAAATTTAAGGAGAAATAGAAATTGAAAAATTCATTGTTAAAATTTGTGCCACGAAAGAAATTTAAGGAGAAATATAAATTTAAAAATTAATTGTTAAAATGTGTCCTGGAAAATTATTTAATGAAGATTGAAAGAAAAAAATAATTGTTAAAATTTGTGCTGGGAAAATTATTTAAGGAGAAATAGAAAGAAAAAATATTAATTGTTAAAATTTGTGTCCCAAAAAAGAAATTTAATGAGAAATAGAAAGAAAAAAAAGAGAAATTGTGAAAATTTGTCAGATGAAAATAATTTAATGAGAAATAGAAAGAAAAAAAGCAATTGTTAAAATTTGTCCTGGGAAAATTTAATGAGAAAGAGAAAGAAAAAAGAGAAATTGTGAAAATTTGTCCCCGAAAGTTTTATGAGAAACAGAAAGAGAAAAGTAATTGTGAAAATTTGTCCCAGGAAAATAATTTGATAAGAAATACAAAAAATTAGTTGTTAAAAATTGTCCTGGGGAAAAAATTTAATGAAAATTGAAAGAAAAAAAAGCAATTGTTAAAATTTGTTCTGGAAAATTTAATGAGAATTAGAAAGAAAAAATTAATGGTTAAAATTTGTTAAAAAATCATTTAATGAAAATTGAAAGTAAAAAAAACCCCCAATTATTAAAATTTGTCCCCAAAAAACCACATTTAATGGGAAATAAACCAAAAAAGGCGCCATTTTGGGTGTGTTTCCCGCCGGAACTCGTCGCTTTCCCTA